TTTTTTTTTTTTTTTTTTTTTTTTTTTTGGTTGGTTGTTTCCCGTTGTTCGGCCTTTTGGAAAGCGGGGCGGTGCTTGCATGTAGGAATCATCATCCAGGATTGTTTTTTATACCTGTCCTCCGGGTTCTTTTCGATTTTTTTTGCAGACAAGAGTGTTTTGACATCCTGGTTGGTCTTGTCCCGTCGTTTGGCCTGTGTATGTTGGGGCGGTGCTTGCATGTGGGACTTGTCATATGGGATCTGTTTTGTTGCCCCATGTTCTGTATCATTTGGCTGTTCCCTTCCTCTTTTCTTCGCCTCTTTGCATTTTGGCTGTGTGCAAGTGGGTCGATATGACACACGGGGGTGGGGGAAGGAGAGCCGCCGCTCAACCTACATCCACGTGGGCGGCCTTGTACGCAAGAGGAGGTTCTGAACAGGGGGAGTCTTGTAAGGAAGAAGATAAAAAATGAATTGATAATTTTTTTTTTGTCCTTGTTGTGTTTCGTTTTTCGCTTCGGCGCTCTGATATTCATGTGACAATATATATACGAGATATAATCACATCCATGATGCAAAGGTCCTTGTGGTACTATGAACATATTACGTGAAAGTGGATTCACACGAATAGCAAAAGAGGACAGATCATCCACGCCAAAAAGAAGAAAAAAAAAAGAGGACAGATCTAAACAAAGGCGACATGGTGAAAGAGGTAATAAAAGTGCGTATTGATTTTGTTTAGTCTCAAGTAATCTATGTGATGAAGTGATTGAGTCAGAGCGACCATCGTGATTTCTTTTTTTATGTTTTTTTTAATTTTAATTCACCATTTATTTCTCGATTTATTCGTGTCATCCTTGAAAGCGCAGGGGCAATTTGCTAATTACCCTTCTCTGTTTCTTTCCGATTTTAACGGATGTCCCGATGGACGATCATCCTAATTCTGGATTCGCTGTAAGGAAAGAGAAACATGATTGATACACTAGAACACCATCATTTCTGTTGACGGCTGACATGTACCGGTGTTCTAGTGGTCAATCATGTTGGTCGCTCCGATTTTAACGGATGTCCCGATGGACCATCATTTCTAGCAAATTGTAACTTGGTGGTGAAAAATCTACCGCGGTGACAATACTGTAGAGGAAGCTTTATGGGAAAATAACTCGATGCCAGGATCACTTCTTTCATCCTTTAAAAAAAAAAAGTCATTCGATCTTTTTGACATTGGTTATTGAGCAACGTGTAACGTGTATTTAGGGCATCAGGGCCCCCCACCGTGCACGCAGGGCCTCGAACCGGCACCCTCAACCTAACGAATGAAGTCTCGTAAAGTAGCGAATAGAAAACAAATGCCATCATTGAAAACAAATGCCATCCTGAATCTGTATCTGGGGTATCCTTCAGTCTAGGTTCGGGAATAATGACCGTAAGTTGCATTCGGATGAAGAAAAAGGTAGAGTGAGTTTCACCGCTCATTTCGGAGATCTCTCACAATAATACGTACGATTCATATAGGTAATCAACTCCAAGGACAGAGGAATGGGGAAAAAAAAATAAAAAAATGCGACCTTCATATAGGTAATCAACTCCAAGGAAAAGGGAAGGGAACAAAAAAAAAAAAAAAAAAAAAA